CCCAGGCCTACAAATGGTGAGCTTACCATAGAGCCCCATTCGTGCAGACGCGAGCAAAACCATGGATAAGACCACTGACAGTGCTAGCGGGATGAGCGAGAACCCAAGGGAGCCGCTAGTACTTGGGTCTTCCCAGCTCCCAGGCTGGTGGTGTTCTTCAGTCTTTGACCCAAGGCGATTTGTCCAGACATTGCCTTGAGTCCTAAGGTACCTGTATTGTCAAGGACGCTCACTGTGGGACCAGCTCACTACAAAGCAGCACTTACTAAACCCTGCAAAGTCCAGCACAGACAAAAAGGCACTGTGGGCATCCATAATTATTTTCATTAAAATTTGCACATGATTTTATTCCAAACTTTACACAGAGACAGTCAGGGAAAGGGAGAGGGTTTCCTGCAATATTCACTCACCTGGTGGCAGCAAGCTCATTTCACAAGCTTAAGGGGAGACATGAGTGGGAGCCTAACACTTGGACACGCGTCTGTTAGCTGCCAACACAAGCTAAAGGCATCCACCAGATTTCCTTACAACTCAGCGGACAGCCCAAATCCACCTCTACAAACCCACCAACCGACGAGCGCAAATGCTCCCAGCACTGCTCCTTATCAAACTACCTCTTCCCTTCAGGGCTGCCCCCCAAAAGGGTGAGTGTGCAATAATGGAGAACCCAGATATCCACGATGCCCCTTCCTACAGCTCCGGGCTTTGTGGGGCTTCACTTGGGTTCTGCTTTTTAGTAAGTGCTTCCTGCAGGGAGACCTTGGCCAGCTCAGGAGGCCTCTAAGGCCGAGCCCCGGCTTCAGCGGCCTTGGGCGGAAGACAAAAGCATTGCCAGTGGCATCTGGATTTATATTTTGTCTTCTCAGAAAGGAGTTTCAGCCGGCAAGGGCTGGACTGTCCCCCCTCAGGTGGCACTGTGTCCTCTCAGCAGAGTGATAGTGGTTCTCCCCAGATGTCCCACCTGCTTTTGGACAGTGACAGGTCATGACTACCACAGGTAAATAACATGAGTGAAGGGCTTCCTGAAGAAGCCATCTCAGCAGGAAACTGGAATTCTATAGTGTCATCTTCTATCCACATCTTTACAAAAGAAAGCTCACATGTTCCCCCAAATAATATTACTTTTGGTAAGTCTAGAGAAATGAGTAAGCTTGGAAGTATCCTCAAATTTTATAAATGTATTGGGGAGTCAAAATTTTAAATATGGCATTTCCCTTCCACTAAAATACCAAGACAGCCTGGATGTTCTATAGATCATTTATCCAGTTTGTTTCCAGCTTTTGACGTTCATGAACAAGCCTGGGATGTGCCTTAATTATCATCTTTGGTGGCAATTGGAATATTATGTCAGATGCATTAGGAATGCGCTGGGAGGGAAAGCAACTGAACTCGGCAAAGATGGGATTTACAAGGGAATCACAGAAGGCAAACTAAGGAGAGGGGAAGACAAACCGGGGAAAAAGGATAAAAACAAGGAGAAACAATCTGGGAATTGTTTTAATGGCTTCCGTTGCTTTTACGTTACACCTACACATTAGAACTAATGACACCTTTTCCTTCCTAAAAGCCTCACCTCTTGGCTGTTCATAACTTTCTGACCACTCCCGTCTCTCCGGTTCCCATTTCTATCCTCATTCATAAATGGAAGCATTCAGCAAGGTCCCTGTTCTCTCCTGGGGTTCTCATTGGGTGCATGGCTTTAGCCAGTGACACCCCTTCACTTAACTGCCAAACCCTTAGCTCCAGGGGCAGCGTTTCTCCAGAGCACCAATATTCTCATCTCTCCCAGGCAGCTCCACCTCTGATTGCCCCTTAGGGCAAATTCAGCAGGACTTCAGAAGTTTGCAAGGAACAATGCTTGTGGCTCTTGTGCAGAATAGGGAAATACTAGGCTATGTAGAAAACAAGAGCGAATGACCTACAGTGTCTGTCCTCAAAGGGCCCACACTCTGGGCAGACAAGGGCAGAAGTGCAAAGAAGGTTGGCCACAGGGAACAAGGCCAGGTTCTGATGAGGAAGGGAGAGAGATTTGATGTGACAATCAGGAAGAAATTCTCAGTGGCTAGAAAGGTTCAGGGCACCCTAAAGGAAGGATTTTGATGGGCAGAGAGGGGAGGTGGGAGGAAGAGGCAGAGGGAGATTGAGATCTAAGTGTCCGTCCTGCTGTCTCTTCTGTTTCTCTTTATTCCTTCCCATAGGAACTGAATCGGGCTAGGATATGTAGGGGAGCCTATTCTTAAATTTCATAAGCAGTGAGGAGCCCTTGAAGGTTTTGAGCAAGGGAGCGGCATGGTAAGCCTCTGGCAGCAGGGGGCAGGCGTCTCTTGAGGTTGGGGGACAAGAGCTGAGATCTGGGAGATCTCCGGCAGGCACCGGGACATCTAGATGAGCCCAGAAGTTGAGCTCTGCCTCTTCCATCATCTTTCCAGAGGGGCCGGTTGAAGTTGTGGGGGAAGGTCAGCACCCGCTATGGAGAGGCAGGGGGTCCAAATGCAGAACCTTCCGGAGCAGCCATCCTCAGCTGGCCCAGAAAGGAACTGAAGCTGGTTGGAGAGCCAGAGAAGGGGGCCAGGAGGAAGGCACAGGAATGGAAGCCAAGAGCGGCGAGTGACGAGGCAGCTCTCGGCCCAGAGGGCAGAGCTCCGGTGCTCTACATGCCCTGGGAGAATGAGAACTACGAGAGAGGCAGACTGAGGGAGTGGTCGCCTTCTGGGCCACCACCTGCTGCTCCACCAGCCAGGCCTCCCTCCTGACCCCGCGTCTCCCTCTCACCTGTCCCCGTACCCAGCTCCCACCGCCGCCCACCACCCCTACCACTGATTCTGCTCCGACGCCCTCACCAGCTGCACTCATCAGGCGCCAGGCTCTTTGCCTTTCCCTTAGGCCCCTCTTCTAGCAATTTCACTGGGACACCAAACCAACCATCTCTCAGCCTCCCCTGTGTTCCTTCTGCCAGGTGACTCTCCCTGAAGCCCAGCTCCAGGCATGGTGTCCTCTGCTCCAGGACCCTGAATGACTCCCTGTTACCTGCTGACGAAAGGTCAAACTCCTTATGGTGACAGTCAAAGCCCTTACTTGCATTACCACCAGAACATCTCCTGCAAACCCTATGGCTGCAAACCTAGCCATTCTCCCTAACTGCAGGCCTTACCCTCAAGCCACCCACTGCATTCGCCTTAGAGATAACTCTACTTCCCTCCCAGGGCATGTCTCTCTTGTACAACTCTGGGCTTACTACATTCTTCTCTGAGATACGTGTCCCATTCAGGCCAATCTGTGGGTAGGAGTGGAGTATTTTAGGAAGGGGTGGTCGATTCACTAGAAGCAGTGGGAACTCAGACATAAGGAGACCTTGACGCAGGAGAATGGGAACCTTGTCCATTCATGGCTTCTCTAGGGCTGGGCTGGACAGGGCTCATAAGTGATGAAGATGGCCTCTGCCACAGAAGGACAGAGAAGGCCAGCACTGGAAGGGATCCCAGGCTGAAGGCGAGAAGCTTATCTAGTATTCCTCTCTCTCTCTCTGCAAAGTTACCCAGCATGCCCCACACACCGAGCACTGTGCTAAATGCCAACAGCAGTGGATGGCTGAGCCGCCTGTCTGAAAAGGAAAGGCCCAGATCTGCAGCACTTGCCTGTGTCTGGTGTAAACAGTCCTACCATTGCTGATTTCAAGCTAGTAACATGGCTTTACTGACTGCAAAGCTTGAGAAGAAATGCACACAATCAGCTCCAGGGAGCTGGGGCAGCGGCTGCCTTCCAGCACAGCATGATGGGGGTGGCGGTGGGGGGTAGAGGACAGCACTGTGAGTGAGACGGACCAGAGCGAGTCTCACAGAGCTTGGTCTAACGGCATCGTGTTACTGCTTTGCTTCCAGCAGCTTCCACTACCATGTGGGTAGATCTAGATGTGATTGCGTGAAGGAGGTCCAAGTTTTCCTTGCATTCCTCTATTAGGCTGTAAGGTCTGAAGGGCAGGGCGCCACCCCTTCCACGTGGCTTTTCCCCCCAGCACCAGGCACGGCGCTCTGCTCATGGGAGCCACTCCAGGTCTGCTGGCAGATTTACTGGTGGGGCAGGGAGAGGCAGAAGGGACCCGTTTACACTGAAGGCAGGCTCCCCAGTATCTGCGCCCTGGGCTGGTATTTCAAGCGGCTGGTGTTGGCCTTTGGTAAAAGACAAAGCAGGCTCACCTCCAGCCTTCCCACTCCAGTTAGTGCCCTGTTCCCACCTCCAGGGCCCCTGCCCGCGGCTGGTTTTCAGGCTCACCCTCAATTCTGTTCTCCACCCTTGTGAGGCCTTCCGTGCTTATGCCCAAAGGCAGTGCTGACTCCAAAACCATGGGAAGCATCAAGAGCTGTCCTGGGCTTCTCAAAAGGGTCTGAGACCTTCCCCATCCCACTCCCACCTCCAGAAAAGGCTCAGTTCTCTAGCTTAACCTATGACCTTTATGAAGTATGTGTAGATTCTGGTCACCCAGGAGGCCTTCCATGTACAGGGACCCTGGCTGAACCTCTGCAAAGGGATTAGTGTGTGCACATGTGAAAGAACATGCTTGGGTGTACCATGTAACAGAGCTGGGTGTACCATGTACTTGCAGCTGCCACACACACTCCCATGCCAGGAAGGAAAAGCTGCCACATTGCTGGCATGGTGAGCAAAGCCTGAGGGGCTACCCTCACCCAGCATGGCAATGTGACTGTCTCTGCCGACTGCTTCCATCTCTAAGAGGGCCGAGAGGGCGCTTTCTGTCGAACCATAGATCCTAGTCGTTAATGTGCGCGGCTGGTCCAGGCACCAAGCCACATGGATTCGGTTCCTTCTCTGCATCCACTCCCCTCTCACTGCAACTTCCCACCACAGAGCCCACAACACTTCAAAGATCAAAGCTTTATTTTCTCTAGCTCCAGTGTCACAACGGTAGCAGCATATCAGAAATATAAGCACTCCTTTCCTTCTTCAAAGAACCAGCAACAATTAGAGGCAAAAACAATATTTACTACAGGCATTTAAGAAACAACACTTGCTCACCCTTATGCATTGTGCGTCTTGACAGGTAGGAAGCTACAGTACATTCGCATTTAACAAGCACAGTCATCCTTAAAGAAAGTTCAACAAAACCTTATTGGCAAAACAACACAGTGGAGATGCAGCCTTCAGAAGACTTTGGAGGACAGAGCTGGAATAAGACATTGTCAAAAAAAAAACCCCCCCACACAAATGCATGTAGACCAGTAAATACCTAGATTCAATCGAAAGTTAAGAATAAATAGTCATGGATTAAAGATTTATCCCATTTGTTAAAAAAAAAAAAGGTCAATTTTTTACTCTAAAATAGATATAAAACTCTGATGTACGAGTGGTTCAATCTCAAGTCATGGTATGGTCTTGGCAGCAGAGTTCACGTGCACGTGTGCACACACATTACTGAGTATTGTACTCGAGCGGCAGCGCCTGGCTACAGATGTTACTCCAAAGCCATGAAGGACCGAGTTGTGCCACAGTTACATGACGTTGGTCACCATGGAGGTGGGGGTGGAGAGAACATCCTCCTATCTAGCTACTCCTTCACGCCCAACAGCCTGCACGGGGCACCAACTCACCTCTGGGGCCCAAGACGAGGCAGGGAAAGCAATTCCCACGAAATGAACCACCACTGCGGTCTTAGTGCTTCTCTACTTTCAAGCTTTCTCAGGTACATGGCTCAGCGGGCCGCCGAAGACCCAGCGCGGAAGGCAGGACAGGCGGCACCACTTCCCGCCGGCTCAGTGCACTGCGCGAGGCCAGGCAAGAGCAGACCTGCCTTCCAACGGTGCCCACGGAGCTCTGGCCCCCACCTCCGACCTCTCTTCCTTGTATTCGCTACCCAAAGTTTTCCAGAGAAGTAAACACTTTCTCTGAATAAATCGAAAACAGAATCCTGTAGGAAAAAGGGAATATTTTGCTGCAGCGTGGCATATTGTGGGTGGATGCAAACGGGAGATTGATTATTCTAGAATTTGGTCTAGTTTTCTTTCATTTACAGGATTGAACAGAGATGCAGGGTGTGTTTGGAGAGCCGGCAGCACGGTCTCCAAGGCCTTTCAGCATGCCTGGGAGAGAAGCTGGCCGCAGTGGTTTCCAGGTGGGCAGGGAGTGGGTGCCGGGCGGGGCGCGGTGAACTCCAAAGTGGGACGGGTCGGCAGCTCAGGCCCCCAGCCCAGGAGCAAGGTCCTGCTCAGGGGCACATGTGGTAACCACCCCACGTGGCACTCTCCTGTCCCTAACCTGAGCACTGCTCCCAAGGCACTGTGCAAGGTCCCAAGATAGAAACTGTTCCAGTGCTGCCTGATCTCTTCCCAGGAAGTAACAGCCTCTGAAAGGGCCTGGTCTGAGCCTCAGCCAGACGCACATTGACCGTGCCTGAGGCAAAGGGCGAAGGGCAAAGGGCACAACCAGGCTGACAAAGTGCACACACACACACACACACACACATACACACACACCCATGCTTCCTGCTCATTTTTAAAAGAGGACTCTAAAAGGAAACGGTGAAGCCATTCGGTCTCCCCTTGGAGATCTGGCAGCCAATCAAAGGGCGTGGCCAGCGGAAACAAGCTTGCATTTTCTCCTAGTGATAATGCGGCCCAGATGCACCATGCCAGAAAACGCAAGCTAGCCTCGCATTCCCATGCAGACCATGCAAGGCTGAGGACAGCTCCAGGGGCAGCTTGACCCATGCCTGAGGGTCAGGGTTCACTTGAGCAGTGGGGCTTGACTGGAGGGCCTGGATCCTGTCACTGTGCAGTGAGAGGCTCTGTGACAGGGAACTGGTGATAGGGCAGATGCCACAGACGTATTTGCTATGTTCTTTAAAATCCCTACAACTGCACAGGGAAGCACAGATTTAGTCAAAACACACACAGACAAGAATATCCGAAGTGCCTGAGTTAAAAGGTTGATGGAGAAATAAGTCCTGGGATAAAGGTGGGATGTACCCCAAGTGCCTACCCAACAAGCAGCCAGTGACATTTGAAGGGCTCCTCTGTGCTGGCCCCAGGAGGCACACATTCACATCAACCACGGGGGAAGGAAATGGTCTCAGCAGATCCAAGACCAGCCGTCTAATCAATCCTACTGGGGGCCACAGTCCTCCAGTGTGAGCAGTCCTGCCACCCAGCACGCATGTGTGCATGCAGCCAGAGAAAATGCCCCAGGGCCAGATCTTTGGCCCTGGAATTTTTAGGAAAGACAGAGGAAAAAGGCACAGGAAAGTGACTGATGGGAGAAAAGAAAAAAAAGTAGCTGGAAGTCACATATCATTATTTTGACTTTTTTCAACGTACCCTTTTTATCCCCCATGAAAAGAGAAATTCAAAATATAAGCTTTATTATTTTACATTTAAGTGAAACTTCCATCTGGGGGCTCTATCCAACATGAGGCCACCTTCAGCAATTCATTACTGTGGTGCCTTTTCTGCTCAACCCCGATGGAAGAGTTCAGCCGTCTATTTTTTTTTTAAACAACAGCTTTATATTCCCAGCTGTCACACGTACTTGTACACACACACACACACACAAATCCAGACCTCTATGTAGAAAAATAAAGGATAAACATTATCCAACTATTTTATACTGTGTCCTGGAACTTTCACACACATAATTAGTTTTTCCTTTCATGTTTTCAGTGTGCATTTCTTCCCTCCTGTGTGGTCTACAATTCTAGAGGAGGAGACTGCAATGAAGCAGAAAAGCTACGTTCCTCTCAGGGGAGGGACAGAAAGAGCACTTTCTCACTCCCCCTCCAAAGTCTTGCCCCATCTACCACCACCTCGGATGTCCCTGCAGACGCATGGCCTTCTGGTAGGCGGCTGGCCCACCCTCCCCTCTCTCTAAGGTGCCAGGGAGTGGAAGGCCCCCTGAAACCCCTCCCGCCGCCTGCAAACATCACCTTGGTGTGAGGGCAGGGGAATGGAAACAGGCAGAGAGAGCCTTTTAAAAATAAAAGATTCTGGAATCCCTTCCCACTGCCCAATCCTTCAGTATGGAGTTCGACTCTCCAGCTTGTGTTTGGTGAGGAAGTATTTGAAAAACTCATAGACAGACCAGGAAATGGCAGTGGAGGGCATCTGGTAGATGACACGGGCCTGCATGCCCTTGAAGTAGCCAGGCAGGCCGTTGAGCTGGTACACGGTCCGGAAAGCGTTGGCCATGCCCGACAGCCGGCCGCTGATGTTGGCCAGGTTGAGGGCCATGTTCTCCTGGGTGTTGAGGAGGGTCTTGCACACATCCAGTGGGGTGGTGGCGGCTGCGGCGAGGGCCCCCGCCAGCCCGCCTGAGATGATGTGTGACTGTGGGTTGTAGCCCCGGTGAGGGTTGACCTGCTCCTGCAGGAACTCATAGGTGATGAAGTGGATGGACTGGAAGGGAATGTTCATGGTCAGCTGCGTGGTGTAACTCCGGTAGAAGGCCCCCAAGCCCTCCGTCCTCCAAACCGTCCAGATGCAGCTGAGGGCCGACCGGTGCGGCGAGTTGTACATCTGCATGCGCTGCTTCACGACTGTGGTCGGGCCGTCCACGGGCAGGGGGTTGGGTTTGGCCCCACCCCAGATCGGAGTGAAATGGGAAGCCAAACCATAAAGAGAAACAAGCAAGTTTAGACACACTGGTGGCAGGTCACAGAGAGCCACACATACACAGCCCCAGCCCGAGAAACCACAGCAGAGGTCCCAAGATAGAAACTGTTCCAGTGCTGCCTGATCTCTTCCCAGGAAGTAACAGCCTCTGAAAGGGCCTGGTCTGAGCCTCAGCCAGACGCACATTGACCGTGCCTGAGGCAAAGGGCGAAGGGCAAAGGGCACAACCAGGCTGACAAAGTGCACACACACACACACACACACACATACACACACACCCATGCTTCCTGCTCATTTTTAAAAGAGGACTCTAAAAGGAAACGGTGAAGCCATTCGGTCTCCCCTTGGAGATCTGGCAGCCAATCAAAGGGCGTGGCCAGCGGAAACAAGCTTGCATTTTCTCCTAGTGATAATGCGGCCCAGATGCACCATGCCAGAAAACGCAAGCTAGCCTCGCATTCCCATGCAGACCATGCAAGGCTGAGGACAGCTCCAGGGGCAGCTTGACCCATGCCTGAGGGTCAGGGTTCACTTGAGCAGTGGGGCTTGACTGGAGGGCCTGGATCCTGTCACTGTGCAGTGAGAGGCTCTGTGACAGGGAACTGGTGATAGGGCAGATGCCACAGACGTATTTGCTATGTTCTTTAAAATCCCTACAACTGCACAGGGAAGCACAGATTTAGTCAAAACACACACAGACAAGAATATCCGAAGTGCCTGAGTTAAAAGGTTGATGGAGAAATAAGTCCTGGGATAAAGGTGGGATGTACCCCAAGTGCCTACCCAACAAGCAGCCAGTGACATTTGAAGGGCTCCTCTGTGCTGGCCCCAGGAGGCACACATTCACATCAACCACGGGGGAAGGAAATGGTCTCAGCAGATCCAAGACCAGCCGTCTAATCAATCCTACTGGGGGCCACAGTCCTCCAGTGTGAGCAGTCCTGCCACCCAGCACGCATGTGTGCATGCAGCCAGAGAAAATGCCCCAGGGCCAGATCTTTGGCCCTGGAATTTTTAGGAAAGACAGAGGAAAAAGGCACAGGAAAGTGACTGATGGGAGAAAAGAAAAAAAAGTAGCTGGAAGTCACATATCATTATTTTGACTTTTTTCAACGTACCCTTTTTATCCCCCATGAAAAGAGAAATTCAAAATATAAGCTTTATTATTTTACATTTAAGTGAAACTTCCATCTGGGGGCTCTATCCAACATGAGGCCACCTTCAGCAATTCATTACTGTGGTGCCTTTTCTGCTCAACCCCGATGGAAGAGTTCAGCCGTCTATTTTTTTTTTAAACAACAGCTTTATATTCCCAGCTGTCACACGTACTTGTACACACACACACACACACACAAATCCAGACCTCTATGTAGAAAAATAAAGGATAAACATTATCCAACTATTTTATACTGTGTCCTGGAACTTTCACACACATAATTAGTTTTTCCTTTCATGTTTTCAGTGTGCATTTCTTCCCTCCTGTGTGGTCTACAATTCTAGAGGAGGAGACTGCAATGAAGCAGAAAAGCTACGTTCCTCTCAGGGGAGGGACAGAAAGAGCACTTTCTCACTCCCCCTCCAAAGTCTTGCCCCATCTACCACCACCTCGGATGTCCCTGCAGACGCATGGCCTTCTGGTAGGCGGCTGGCCCACCCTCCCCTCTCTCTAAGGTGCCAGGGAGTGGAAGGCCCCCTGAAACCCCTCCCGCCGCCTGCAAACATCACCTTGGTGTGAGGGCAGGGGAATGGAAACAGGCAGAGAGAGCCTTTTAAAAATAAAAGATTCTGGAATCCCTTCCCACTGCCCAATCCTTCAGTATGGAGTTCGACTCTCCAGCTTGTGTTTGGTGAGGAAGTATTTGAAAAACTCATAGACAGACCAGGAAATGGCAGTGGAGGGCATCTGGTAGATGACACGGGCCTGCATGCCCTTGAAGTAGCCAGGCAGGCCGTTGAGCTGGTACACGGTCCGGAAAGCGTTGGCCATGCCCGACAGCCGGCCGCTGATGTTGGCCAGGTTGAGGGCCATGTTCTCCTGGGTGTTGAGGAGGGTCTTGCACACATCCAGTGGGGTGGTGGCGGCTGCGGCGAGGGCCCCCGCCAGCCCGCCTGAGATGATGTGTGACTGTGGGTTGTAGCCCCGGTGAGGGTTGACCTGCTCCTGCAGGAACTCATAGGTGATGAAGTGGATGGACTGGAAGGGAATGTTCATGGTCAGCTGCGTGGTGTAACTCCGGTAGAAGGCCCCCAAGCCCTCCGTCCTCCAAACCGTCCAGATGCAGCTGAGGGCCGACCGGTGCGGCGAGTTGTACATCTGCATGCGCTGCTTCACGACTGTGGTCAGGCCGTCCACGGGCAGGGGGTTGGGTTTGGCCCCACCCCAGATCGGAGTGAAATGGGAAGCCAAACCATAAAGAGAAACAAGCAAGTTTAGACACACTGGTGGCAGGTCACAGAGAGCCACACATACACAGCCCCAGCCCGAGAAACCACAGCAGGCCAGCTCCAGGCAGTCCCAGGCAATCCCAGGCAATCCACTTAAGAATGTAGCTCCAAGACCCAGTGCCAGAAAGGTGGCTGCTTCATGAACGTTCTCCTGCCTGAATCTTGTTTAAGGTGGTTCCTAAACCAGGCAGCCACTTCAAACTAGAGTCACTGATCTTATCCCCCACCACACCTGCCACAAATCAAAATCCTGCCCACTCCTGGCCCCTCTGCCCTCCTCCCTCCCAGCTGTGATGTCTGTCCTGTTTTTATTCGCAGTGGTCATAGCTCTGGCAGTACTTCTGGTTTCTGTGTGTCACAGTGCTCTTAAAAGGGACCCTAGAATTATGTCAGTCCAAGCTCAATGACAAACTCCAACAAAGACCCCAGCTTTGTTAATACAAAAGTAATCAGTAATTCAAAGGACGTGAGGCAAATGAGACCAACTGTGGTCCTTTAGGCTTAGACTTTTACTAGTACCCACACATCGCCAAATGAACACACACAGTGTTCTTTCCTTTACTTCTCTGCTCCGTAAGTCGGTATGTCAAGGAGAAGAGGGGAAGTCGAACCTCATTTTTTTCTCCTTCAAAAATAGAAATAAAATTCTGACCTGACTGACATGGGCCATTGCCTTAAACACACACAAAAAGGAACCCCTTTCCCAATCTGACCCATCACATCCCTGAAGGTCGGGCCACACCCCATCTGCCAGAGAAATCTTAACCTTAAAAGACAAAAACAAACTTACAACAAGACTTAAGAGGTTGAAGTTTTTCCCTCAGATGCTCCTCTGGCAAGGGGCCATTTTCAGATGGGGGAGAAAAGTGGAGAACCCACCACATCTCCCAGACACAATAACCCAGCTTATAGGAGGCCCACCACGAGGTCTGAAAGCTCCTCACAATTCAGACCTGAGTCAGCCGAGCTCACTGGACACAGTAAAAGCTGACAGAGCATAAGTCTGAACAGCTAAGGATTATTTTATAATGCTCCCAAAATTCAAAAGAAAAAAAAAAAGAAGATAACATAGGGAGACAGCTAAAACAGTATGTGCAAAGGTTTGTTTATGAAGCAGAGTGACGCATACATGGCAGTTCAAAAATACTGTCTGCACTGGCATATATTTAACCTTATCCTTAATAATTTCTAATTTCCCTTTAAAAAGCAAATTGAACATAGGCCCTACTGAATGGCCTTTGACAGGTTCCTCCTAAATTTGTCTAGGATTGATAAAAGTTAACAAGGATCAGGGATGTGTGTATGTGTGTATGTATGTGAATGTACACATGTACACCCGCATACAGAGGTTTTAGAGCTGTGTAAAATCATGTAAAAGAATCACCAGGTTATTAGAACTGACTCTCTGTCCCCACCCCAGTCATTCTGATTTAGTAGGGCTGGAGGTGAGGGATACTCAAGAACTAGCATGTCTAACAGGCTCCCAGGAGACAAATGCTGTTGTGGTCTGCAGGTCACACTCCCAGGGGCTCTGTTTAACACAACAGGAATGCCGTAAGATCAAATGGCTTATGTCTCTTCCTGAGGCCTTCAATAATGTGGTAAAGAATACTGCTTATTCGGACTAGGGACCAGGAGTTCCCTCGCCCAACTTTCTGTCATCCCCCACCCCTTATTTTCTGCCCCTCTGCACATCCCCTACTGCCACTCCCTGGGACCATGAAACATTACCTTCTGCTGGATTCATTACTGCATCGTGGAGCAGGGTGGCCATACTCCCAGCTATCCCTGCAAAACAAACTCCAGAAAATTACCCTCTGGGACCAGGTGCTCTGAGGAAGTTCCTGGAACCTAAATTCGGACCAAACCCTGGACACAGCTTTCCAAGAGGCAAAATTCATGACCAACTCCACCCAGGTGAGTGCTGACTCCTAAAACCCTCAAGTGACAATGTAAATAATGGACAAAAACAGAGAAGGTAGCCTAGGTACAGTTACCTGCATTTTAATCTTGCAGAAACCTCATTTTCTCTCCTGTAGTCAACCCTGGGGAAAAGCTAGTTGGACAGTGCATACAAACCACACTTCATGCTTTTCCCACTGTCTAGATTTCTCTCCTGTCCCTCGCCTTTACCTACAGATTAACTCACTCAGCCCTTAAACTGGTGCGCTCAAAGGGGATGATACCATGTATATGGCTAATGGGGAAGAAGTCAGATGAGAAATCTTTACAAAACTTCCTTAATAAAATCCAGGCATTTTTAAGGAAACAGCAGAGCAGAGAAGAAAACAGGAAGACATGGGGTAGCCTTCCAGGGTTAGTGTGCAAAGCTGTGACTTGTTTCAGAGGTGATGCTCCCCCTCTGAGGGTCTCTTCTGGCCTGGCTTCAAGAACCATGAACCTCAAAGGCCTGGTTCATGTCTGGAATTTTGCTTCTGCTTTGCAGGTGACACTGTCCAGTAATTAAGAGTACCACGGGAAGGTGGGAAGGATGGGGGACACCAGGATAATGCTTCCGAAATGTGTATACATCCCCCCCACCCAACCGCCACACACACACACTTATGGTTATCCCAGAAAGGTCACAATGCAACCTCAGCGCACATAACAGTGAAGCAGTAACAGCGCAGCAGTACTTGGTATAACCTGGGTTTGTCACACCACCTGCAGGGGCTCAGTGACCAGGGGACCAAACCATTCCATAAGGCAGTTTCAGTCAAAAGAGGGACTTGGAGACACGGACTCAGAGACAGCCATCAGAATATAGCTCTTAGTGACCATCCCCATCAATGCCACTTGGGGCCAATTTTTAAAAAGCAACTTTAAAATACTTTCTGTATTTCATCTTTATAAGTTAGCCCTTAAATAGTAATGCATTTGTTCCCAGTCTGTCCCTGGAACAGCCTTGCCTCCTTGAGGCAACGACGCAGCTTTCCCTATCTCTGTTATCCCTATAAACAAATGTCTGCAAACCAGCCAGCTGGAGTTATTATTACCAGGTTTGCTGATGGAAGGGATGCTTTTTGGCTTCCTCTGAGTAGAACAGAACGAGAAAGCTGTCGCTGATCACATCTACCTCTCCACTGTTGAAACATTAATTATGTTAAAATAAGTACACCTTATGCTGCTAGCCATAGTCCCACTCCACACCCAAACAAAACCAATGAAAGCAAAACCCATAGGACAGGCAAAAATAACCACTTAGCAGGGCCCAGTGAAACACGCCTTTGTAAGAGCTGACCCCCAGCTCGCGTCCCCACCCCAACCCTCTCCCTCAAAACAACAAAAGAAAATTCAGCCCTTGCTCGCAGAGAGATGCAACTCAGACAAACGGAAGAGAATGGGGGAGAAATTCCCAAACCCCCAGAAGCTTAAGGTGGGAAAGGTCGTCTGCGCTGGAGCAAATCCTTTGTCAGCCATAAAACTTCTTGACCTTTTAAAGCTTAGTTAGATCTTGACGTTGTAGAGACCTGTTGAACCAGTTTTTAAATAGTCTCAAAGAAGCTGTCCAGATAACTTTTTTTTTTTTTTTTTTGAATCCAGCATTCAAAAGTTTTGTTTCTATTCAGGGTTTTTTCCTAGATCTGATCATTAATTGCTTTTGAATGTTTAAAAAAAAAATGAAAAAAATGAAAAACCCACAGAACAATGGAAACCGAAACACCTCTGTCACGGATTGTCCCCAGGCTTTATAGAAAGCGAAGGAGGGGGACAGGAAAAGCATGTGTGTGTGCACACATGTGTTTGGGTGTGTGCACACACGACTCTATAGAGTTCTTTATTCGTAAGCAAGCGTGGCGGAGATGAGGCGTCAGGCTGCTGGGTCACGGGGAGGAGAGCCCTGGGGAAGGGTCTGTTGAAGGAGAGAGCTGTCTCACTCCAGACAAAGGCTTTCAAAATACCGTTGGCTAGGTGGCTGTTTCCTTGGTGGTGGAAAACAGCATTTAAAGTCCTTTTCATGTTCTCATAGCAGGCAAAGTACATGGCGTGGGCGGGCCCCGCGCCCGTCACCATCACGTTGAGGCCCCGCAAGGGCCTCCAGAAGCCTTCAGTCCGCATGATTTTCTTGAGGGCTCCGTAGATGCTTGTGTACTGGGCTTTGGGATCTGGATTCAAACTCTGCATTCGTGTCTGGGGGGGAGGGAGAGAAACCAAGAAAAAAAGTGGGAGTTAACTAGGATGGTAAAGGAGGGAGAGGAAGACTCACAGAGAGTGAGAGAAAACAGTCCATTTTCAGAGTTTCACAGGATTTCTTGGTGGAGAAGACATTTATTCTCTCCCTCCTGGAGTACTCCCTCCCCCACATCCACACAGCCACATGGGTTGCATTATGCCCAGCAAAGGGGGAAAGGGCTAGGGGTAGGGGGGCAGGATTTGGAGTAGGAAGACCTGCCCTTCCAGGCTGTGTGACCTCTGATGAATCCAATTCCTTAACCTCTCTGGGCCTCGGGACCCTCGACTAAAAAATGGAGCTGTCATGAGCATCAGATGAAACAATGCATGTGAAAACCCTTAATAAACTTAGAGATCTCATTCAGGGTAAGTATTATTATTATCCTATTGCTCCCACTCTGGGTCTAAAGAATTCTGCACCCTCACTTACCTGAGACGTCTGTGTTCTGCAAGCCCCTGTTCAGCCCCACTACCATGAACTGTCCCTGGAAGACTCCAGCCCTCACCCCCTCATCTCCTCTAAATACTTTTTGCATTTCATCTTTATAAGTTAGCACTTAAATATCAATGTCCTTGTTCTCAGTCTGTCCATTGAATAGCCTTGACTCCTTGAGGCACTGACGCAGTTTTCCCCATCTCTGTTATCGCTATCAGACTACTCAGGCTCTTGAGTGGCTGTGCTGGTTAATCTGTGTCAACCTGGCAGGGCCACGGTACCTACACTGGCTCCAGCTGTGGCCAAACACTAGCCTTGATGCTGCTGTGCAGGCATTTTTTAGATGAGATTGACATTTAAATCAGTAGATTTGGTAAAGCGGATTGCTTGGCACCGTGCAGGTGGGCCTCATCTAATCAGCTGAAGGCCTGAAGAGGGGGGAAAAACCTGATATCCCCCAAGGAAGAAAGAACTCTGCCTCCAGACAGTCTTAGGACTTGAACTGTAACATCAACTCTGCCCTGGGTCTCCAGCCAGCCTGTTCACAAGCCTTACAGTCATGTGAGTAAATTCTTTAAAATAAATCAGTCTCAATGTCTACACACACACACACACACACACACACACACACACACACACAGTTGTCTCTTTTTCTCTGCACAACCCTGACTAGTCCAGCAGATAAGAAATATTTGCAGGTGAGGGGCCCCCCACAGGTTCAGTCCTGCAAAGCCAGCAGCCTGCTTTCTCCTGTAACCCTGCACTGGACACACAGGCCATCTGGAGGCTCTCCAGCCTTTGGCAGGAATACCCTTTAGTTGCCATTTATCACCAAATAAAATCATACAGAAAACTCATCTATAAAAGGGAAGAAACGCTTCTCTGAAAATGGGGTGACAGGCCCTGGGCCGTCGTCTCTCATTCCCTAAGGCAGAGACACACCCCTACCCAACTCCAGGGGTCCCAGGGCTCAGTGAAACAACAGGAAAACCAATGACCTAAATTAGCAGTCATTTTCAGATTTCTGATTCCACCAGCTAGGTGCACACTGTTAGCAACTTTTCATTTTTCCAAGAAAGGACATACAAATGATAACAACATAAGCAACAATCACAACCACCCTCCATTACAATCATCATTTCCTAAAAGAAATGACATATTTTTAAATGCTTAAGGAAAAACAGCAAGAACCACCTCTAATTATAAAACTGTTTTTACATTAAATGTAGCTTTATTAAAAACTCACTACTTTACCCCTTTTTTTCTATCACACACTGGTACAAATTCCTGCTGGCCCAGCCTGGGGTCCCATGGTCCCAGGGAAGAGCTAGTGGGAGTGGGAAGGGACAGGGTCAGTGTCCCTGTACCCTTCTGTTGAATTATTTTCTCTTCTAAGCCATATCAAAAGGGCCTTGAGGCTGCCTGGTAATAGAGGAAACATTATAAGTAAACAAGACCAAGAGAAGGAGAAAGCAAGCAAATTTACAAACCAACAGGATACCTGACGCGGGGCCACGAAGCCTTCACTTTGCTCCTGAGTACAGAGTGAATGGAGTCCTCGCCAAGCACGCACTCTCTTCGGAAGGGGCAAAACTGCTTCTTCAGGGATGGGAGAGGCTCTCTAGCTCTAAAATCTAAAAGGTATTTGAAATCACTCAAGTTTTAGAGCAAATTCAGCTTTGCCTTTCGCCTAGCTTGTCTTGGAACGACAGCACAGCGGTCCAGCACACGGGCGTGGGCGTCTGAGAACAGGATCAAATTCAGATGCCATCACTGACTGTGGGACCCGGGCCAAGACGGTTAACTCTCTAAGCTTTCCTCCCCTCTCTGAGAGATTAGCTGAGAAAATTAAATGTCTGTTACCTGTCTATTACTATTGCTATTGTTAATAATAATAAAGATTCATCAGGAGGCCAAGGAATATGGTTCAAGTATATGACTTTGCAGGAAACGACTGTGTCTCATTCACGGCCGATCTCTAAGCCTTTTATGGTGTCTGACTCCCACAGTGGGGGCCCAAGAAATATTTGTTGAATGAGGATGAACAAACAAATGGTGGCAACTTAGCATACCAGCTGGAGTGAAGGGCTCTGTGCCTCTTCTCCTCTCCCTAAATATGAGCAGCTTTTCTGGGATTACCTGACCATCCCAACCCTCCCACCACCTTTTATCTAGATCTTTCCCTATTGGTAAATATCAGTCAGGATAATCACATCTTGCTGCATTACTGAAGGCCAGGGTGGGATGTGCTGAGCCACCAGTGGAGCAGAGGCTGCCTGTCCCTGGGGCTGAACTTGGGCCTGTCAATACAGGCTGGCTGCTGGCAGTCCCACTCCCAGAGGAGAGGCCAGCCTTGGGGACAGACAGCAGGAGCTCCTCTGCCTCCCCGTGCCCCCATCCGCCTCCCACTGCCCGGTTTCTGGCCTGGGGTTGAAGGCCTTTCTTGGGCCTCAGTGGGTAGGAACAAAGGAGCCCCTTGTAGGCAGGGGTGGCCGAGCCAGGAAACACCCCAGACCCAGAATGAGTTGCTGAGATGCCATTCCGGCCCTCACACCGGATCCAAGGGCCAAGGGCCTTCCTTGGCTACAGCATCTCATCTCTCTGCTCTCTGGTCCCCGGAGTCCTCCGCTGGAAAATGAAGGAGAGGATCCGAACAACGACTGATGAGCAGAATCACCTGGGAAATGTCTAAAAGTGCCCATCTGGGCACTACTCCACCACTGAGTGATTCACAACTTTTAATTCCCTGGGTGATTCTGATCCTCACTCCGTTTGGAGAACCCCTAAATAAAGGCCCCTCGGCCTGAGCACTTCTGATAACACTCTCCATCCAGCCTTGGGTGCTGCTGGCAGACTGAGCACCTGTGGGAAGCGAGGACTTGGGCTGGCCGTCAACAATGACCGTCCCCTCTCCTCCCCACCCTTTACGTGTGTGAAAGCATCAGATGGGTTTCTCCCATTCAAAGCTTCTCACAGCAGCCAGCTCATACGGATGAGGGAAATTTGGGGTTGATTTATCACCTCCCTCATTTTCAAATTAGGGTTGAGGCAGTTGGAGTAAATATTACTGAACCAAAATACACCATCCTCCTAGGGAATTGAAAAGGACAAGTGGGTCTCTGTGACTCAAGTTGCAGGTGGACTGCTCTGTCCTCGGGAAGCGGTCTGCTCAAGGGCAGGCCACGTTTAATGAACCCACTTGGGTCAAAGGCAAGTGGCCAATAAGCACAGAGAGGACCCAGTCAAGGCTCCTCTGGGCCCACTGTGGCCACAGTGGCCAAGTTTTAGTCCAGAGCCTCTTTTATTCCTCTTGTGCCTTCATTTCTTCACCCTGCCTGCAGCTACAACACCCTCGGGGCCAGGAAGCAGGACACAGAGAGGATACACTATAAATAAACAAGGAAAGCATGGGGCAGGGCAGAATGACAGAGACTGTCTGGGGTGCCAAAAAGGAGCCCAGAGAAGGCAGGAGTGACCAGTCTGCACCCCGCAGTGAGAGACCCTCCCTTGGAGGAAGCCAAAGGTGGCCAGGTCAGAGGTGAGGCAGAAGTGACCAGCCAAGCTGGAGAGGGGATGATCAGTTTAGTCTCTCTTTCTCTCCTTCTCTAGCTGTGACTCTACCTGTATATATATATATATGCACAACTGAGGGCTGGGCATTGCCTATCTACTGTGGCCCCAAGAAGGAGGGAAAATTAGGGATGAGTGGCTGCAACCCAAGTTGATGGACGGGGGATAAGCAAAATAAGCTTTATCCATATGCTGGAATATTATTCAGCCTTAAAAAAAGAAAGCAATGCTGACACATGCAAACCTGGATGAACTGTGGGAGCACTGTGCAATAAGCCAGTTATAAAGAGACAAATACTGTCTGATCTCACTCACGTGCCTTATTGAGAGTTGTCAAAACCCTGGAGACAGACGTAGGATGGTGGGTGTCAGGGCAAGAGGGAGGAGGAACGGGGAGTGGTTTAATGGGGACAGTTTTCATTTCGCAAGGTGAAGAGTTCTGTGGGTGGATGGTCGCAATGACAGCCAACAACACGAATGTACTCAACGCCACTGCACGGCACACTGGGACATGGTTAGGGCGGTCCGTTTGATGTCATGCGTATTTCGTCACAGTTTTTTAGAAGTCAGGATGTGATGGCGGAGAGAAGGAAAAAGGAAATGAAAGAAGTAGGATACAGAGAGAGAAGGCAGAGATTAAAAACGCACACACACAGAACAAAACAAGCAAAAACACAGAGACAGCAAATCTCCCAACTGCCTTTCCTGTCCTGGGTTTCGGTTCCTGCTCCAGGCCTGGCGGCACGGCTCTCCCTTTCCTTATAGTAAATTCTCATTCTTTGCATTCGAATTCTCCCCTCATGGAAATTCAGCCTGCATAGTAGCATGTGAAAGGCTCTGGAAAGTCCTTCAGGAAAGCAGCCGCTGACCCTGCTTAACAAGGCACTTATTAAATTGGCAGTGGAAGCCCCTCCTCTCCTTTACTA